TACTCTGTAAATGAGGAGATCAAAAAGAGATAAAGCATCTCTTGTGGTGTTTTATGAAACACACATACATGTATATATTACAGAGTTACCACTCTCTTCCTCCAGTCACCATTCCATCATAAGAACTCTTGCAATTGAAATGAAAATGTTTGAGAGTCGGAGGGTGCTTCCCTTACTGGGTCAACACTTCCTGGCTTAGTATAATGTACTGCCATTGCTTAATAACGAGGCAGGGCCATTTCTCACAAACATTGTGAAGGATTTGTCTTACTAATAGGCAGAACAGGGGCCACCATGTCAGTGTGGTGTGACCATGGGCCCGAGAGGAAGATTCCTGTCCAGGTTTCTAAGCTGTCATTGACTGAAATTCCATCCTCAGAGGAAACGCATTTTATCTGGGTGAGCAGTGCCCTCTCTCTACAAACGTGCAGAACTGCCACTCTGGATCTCCATCACCTGGCTGTGCAAGCATCATCACATCCTACCTGCTTGATATTACTCCACTTGATGGGTGCCGAGTCCAAGAGCTCAGCTCTGCTTTTGGAGGTCAGAGAGTAAGCTCTGACTTTCTAGCCTCTGCTCTAACTTGCTAACACAAATAAGCTTGTCACTCACTGTAATTGGGGAAAAAAAACCTTGTAGTCAGTAGATCTGTCAGATTTAAATTTGTGCTTTCAGAAAATGTATTCTTGATGTAAACTAGAGTTTATCTTTGGCACTATAGTTACATTGTATTTTTAAAAACTTGATTTATTTTAGAGTGCTTCTGGTATTTTTGAGCTTTAAATGGCTTGTGCCGTGGTGAACTTCTGCTAACTATGTGGCTCAGAAAGGGGTGGGTGGGGCATATATTAACCCTGGGCTTGAAACGTCCTTAAATTTGGCTTACATTGGGGGTGCTAATATCGCATTAACATCGCTTTAAAGTAAGCAAAATTGTTGTAAAAACATCTGAGGTGAGCAAATAAATATGAAATAAAGTTTAAATGGTTTCATGTAACTTTATATTCTAAAAATAATGACAATATAAGCGTGCATTTTAATTCCAGGACTTACTATTTTTTAAATCATAGAAGCATACAATATTTCCTTACTTTCCTTAATTATAAAAACATTATACATTTACTCTCTTGAGCCTAACACTTGAGAAAGAACTTTGTAAATGTAGCAGATTGTGGAGAGAGAGAGAGAGAGAGAGAGAGAGAGAGAGAGAGAGAGAGAGAGCCCAGCACTGAAGGGTGCTTCCTGCACAAGCATGGGGAACAGATTCTGGATTTCAGTACACACAGACCAGATGTGATCCTGTGCATACATGTGCAATTACAACACCAGCACAGGTCGGGGCTGAGACAACGGGATCCCTGGTGCTTGCTGGCTCCGGCCCAGCTGAAAACAAACAACAAACAAAACAGAACCCTCCCCCCCAACCATAAGATCTGGGTTCAGCAAGGGACCTTCCCTCTAATGGAATAAGGCAGAAAGTGATAAAGGAAAATACACGACACCCTCCTCGAGACTCCACGCATGTGCGTCCCACATATACACACCACATCCACACTTCACATAACGTACACTCATACACAGACTCAATAAATAATTAGTACCCTAATTTTAAAAAGCACCAGGCTACTCAAGCCAAGAGAGTGTTTTCATGTTTCATAAAACTACAGCTCTGCATGAGTTAGTGATGAAGTATGGATAAAACAGCTTCTTAGCTTCCTTAGCTATCAGTTCCTTCCCCTTTCATAGCTACAAAATTAGGGTTAAAATGCCCAGTCTGTCTCGGGGAGAATAACTGGTTTTACCGCTTGTGGCTAACCTTACAGGTGGCCATAATATCCACAATTACATTCATATTGCTTATTGTTGTGCAAGCAATTGAATCTCTTTAGTGATGGTTCTAGATTGGGACAGATATGGACACATGCAAAACAAATTGTGAATATGTCCTAAACTTGTTCATAGTCTTCCCCGGCTTAAGACTGAGGATACAGTATTCTGTGAAGTATGGAGACAGTCACAAAGGCATGCACAACCAAAACACATCCTGAAGGTACATCTTCCTCAGTGAAATGAAAAGTGTGCCAATCTAACAATGTACACCTCCTGGAAGTAGCAAATTTAGTTTTAAAGAATTTCTGCAGTTCATATTATCTTATGTTTAAGATTCATCAACACTTTTGTCAGAAGGACCCCCCCCCCACAAAACTAAATTTAGAAATTACAACATGTGGGGACAAGAACACACTCAAACAAGAGGCCATTCATATACATAAATATGAATATGCCTAGACATATTATATATACATATATATGTGTGTATTTACAATTAATAAAGACACAGAGATAGATATTGGTGTTTAACTTGAAGGTCAAGCAAAACAGTCAAGCCACTAGAGGGCTCTTACCTCTTTGAAATCTTCAGACCAAGTGAGAGTGAGTTCCTGTCTCATCTCGCCTTATATTCCTCTCTAGCGCTGGGATTAAAGGTGTGCACCACCACCTGGCCTCTATGGCTAACTAGTATGGCTACTGGGATTAAAGGTGTGTGCCACCACTGCCTGGTTTGTATGGCTGACTAGTGTGGCTGCTTTGCCCTGACCTTCAGGCAAGCTTTATTTATTAAAGTACAAATGAAATATCACTAAAGTATATCTATATACATATACACATACACACACACACACACACATCTTAGTATAGTTCTTTAACTTTTTCAGAAAGTTTGTAGCAAGGTAGGGGAACTTGTGCCCAGAAGGCCCTTGTCATGCCTTTTATCTTGTACAGGTGTCTGCTTTCATTCTACTCGGATGCTGCATCTGTTTGTACTCAAACTTGATGGGATAAGCTTATAGCAGCAGGCAAATCTAGTACAAAATGCAAAGCTTCCGGGAAGCTTTTGGGCAAAGGTGACCTGGAACCTAGACATAACGATTTTTTTTACCCAACTTCCTGTAGGGGAGTGAGGGCGCTTCAGGCATTAGGAGTGTGTGGCATGTGCAGTAATGATCGCTCCTGTGTTGTGAACATACTCCAGAATGAAATGGAAGCCCAATAGCACATTAGCCAAAAGAGCTGTTTTATATCTCAGATCGAAGCAAAAACTTAGTAATATTTACATGAACCTAGCAAAATCCATACCATGCATATGAATTCAGTTCTCCAATAGCTCTACAAAACAAGAACCTCATAAAAATAAATATATTTGGAAACAAAAAAGTACTGTTTGAAAACCACCATTACGGCTGAAATCAGATTCACAGAGGTCTGTAAGGAGCCAGGGTGTTCAAGAACCCACCTCATCCAGTGTATTTACAAAGGTGATTGGAATCGAAGTAACTTCTGGAAAGCGTTTTCCTACTGTCAAGTCTGGGTTATAATACAGATGTTGCCGGGTGGTGGCGGTGGCAGCGCACACCTTTAATCCCAGCACTCGAGAGGCAGAGGCAGGTGGATCTCTGTGAGTTCGAGGCCAGCCTGGTCTACATAGAGCTTGTTCCAGGACAGGCTCCAAAGCTACAGATGAAACCCTGTCTCAAAAAATAAAATAAAATAAAAATTAAAAATAATATAGATGTTTACACATATATGTTATGCCCAAATCTGTGGGGTCCCCACAAAAGCCAACAAAGAAGACCGAGTACCATATGTAAAAACAAAGAGCCTTTATTTTAATCAAGTTTGCAAACTCGGTCTCTCTGCACATCCAACGTATTGGTACATCCAGAGAGCCCCGAGCTCAATTAGAATAGGGTTTTTATAGTAGTAGAGGTGGGGGCGAGGGGCTCTGAGGTTTAGGGCCCCTGATTGGTTGACATTTGTCGAGGGGTGTCCTGTTGAGGTGCGCTGGCAGGTGTCTCTATCTACAGCTCTCAGAATGCCAGGCATTTCCTTTGAATGGTCTGCTTTTGGGTGGGGGTTGGGCAATCTTTGGCCTGGCCTGTGGTTCCTGTGGCGTTGTCTCTGGATAAACTATTGACACTCCAGACTCCATTTAAACTCATTGATGGCCAGAATCCCAGGTGGTAATGGTTGGAAGTAAAGGACTTCTTTTGGGTGACCTGCCCAGACTTAGCTTATCATGGCTGGCCCCCACAATATAGAGTTCATTGCCACCTCTAATGAATTAAAATTGTACATAGTTAACAGCAACAAATGTTGCAATCCACATACAAGAAGAGTTCTTTAGAATTTTCTAGTTTTTTAGTATAAAGGATGCTTTAAAACAAAATAATCGCTACTTAGTATCTAGTACTTCTCTTATCGTTCACCAAACCATAACTGGGTCTCTCCCTTGATCTGCGCCTGTCTTCCTCACTTTTGAAGATGCATAGAATATTTTGGGGGGAAAGTTCTGCTTAGAGCAGTTAGTGGGCTGTGTAACACACGAAGAAATGGAGCCACATGGTCCAGGTGGTATTTATCTGTACATGGGGATGTTAACAGTCAAGCTTCAAGTGCCAGGCTTGAGCACCTCTGATCCCTTGCAGTATGTTGTAGGCAAGTGTTACCCTCACCAACTGCAGCCTGAAGGTGGTACCAGCTGAATAAAAAGGGGGTGAGATTAGGAAGTGATGGAACCTTCTGCCCCTCGTTCGTTCACTCATTCACTCACCAGACCCCCAAACAGCAAATTACATTGTTTGGGTTACTATGATAAACAAAAGCCATGTGGACCCAGGGACAAGAATTTAAAAATAAATACTTGGTTCATTCGTAGGGGCGGAGATTTGCCTGAGCAAGGCGCAGGGCTTTCGCGAAGCGGGAGAAAATTGTCCCACGGTCCCACCCACCTCCCCAAGATGGCGGCTGCCGCAAAGCCCAATCAGCGCCAGCTCTGCTGGAAGAGTCCCGCGTCTTTTTTTCAGGCTATCGCGTCGTCCGAACAGCAGAGGACCCCACCGAGTCCAGGGTTCCTGAGATGTCATGGATTTCTGTTGGATGCGTCGTCGCGGATCGCTGGGGCGTTCCCGTAGGGACAAGGGGCGGCCGCGCACCTTCGGAGTCCCGCCCCTGGCTCTCGCAGGCGTCGCGGTCCTTTGACGCCAGAGGGGGGCGTGCCGGCGCGACCCACTACGTCGCCGCGCGGATAATGGCGACTGCAGCAGCCTGAGCGGGGGGACTTCGTGCTCCAGTAATTTCCTGTTGTGGCGGGAGGAAGCTGGGGTGCCTCCGGAGCTGGCGGCTGCAGTGCCGGCGCGCCTGCGCGCTTCCGCCTCGTCCTGGCCCAAGCGGTGGCGTCAAGGCCCCGCCGAGCCCGCCAGGTGGGTGGCCGCGCTTGCGCCCGCAGCCTCAAGGCGCATGCCCGCGCGTGGGGGCGGGCGGGAGGGCGGAGCCTGGGCGGTGCGACTCTAGCTTCCCGGGGATTGCTGGGGCGCTGCGGGGCGGCGGGCCAGGGGGCTGCACCGCACATTCCGGGCACTGCCGACCTCCCATTCTCTGCTCCTCTCCAGAGTCGTCTTGGCCTCTTCACTTTTCTGAGCAGTGTCCCTGGGACCAGGTCAGAAACATGAGTGGCAACAACTTAAGCGGGAACGACGAGTTTGATGAGCAGTTGCGACTGCAAGAATTGTACGGAGACCCCAAGGACGGTGACACCCAGAATGACCCGTCTGGAGAAACCGATTCTTTGGGACAGCCGCCCGATGACACTCCCTACGAGTGGGACCTTGATAAGAAGGCTTGGTTTCCTAAGGTACAAAAGAGTCGCTTGAGTGCCACTCTGGAGCGGGGCTGTGGGGTTCCCTGGACACCCTTGCGGGACACCCCTCTTAGTTTGCTCTGCTGAACTACTAGGTCCTCGAACCGGTGGTTGATGGCTCTTCTATTTGTCCAGTCTATTGCAGTACCGAAGTATAAAGGAAAGTAACTCTTAGGGTGGTGCCTTAGTAGGTTTTTTATGCCTTATTAATTTTTTTTGCGAAGGTCACAGTTGGTTATTCTATTGATGACTGCTTTTTATTGCAAAGAGAAAAACACCAAGGAAAACACCTTAGTAACAGTTTTTTCCTGTATCGTCAAACTTCTGTGAGGTGTTTAGTGAACGTGCTGTGGACAGAATGGAGCTTGTTGGTTGGGTGGGGGGTGGGGGAAAGCAGCCTTTTACCTCATTCCATTGAATAAACTTTTCTCGCATCTTGCTTTATTTCTCTACGGAATTTTGTTCCAGCGCATCTAGTAGCCACAGGAATATAACCAGGAAAGCACGGAAAGTGGTTGGAAGAGGTCTCAACGTTTCTTTTGAGTACTTGGGAATTGCTGATGAAAGAACTGGTGCAAGCCTGGCGGGGAAATTGTATGCTGAACGTTCCCTGCTAGTCTTAGCCCATCAGTATGAAAGCGACGCGACAGCCAACAACACAGAACTTGTCTCCATCGCGTAGACAGATTGTTAGCTTAAAAGTTATATCCGCTCTTCATTCCGCTTTTCTATGTCTGCATATCTCAAGCTCCCCAGATTGTTGAAGTTTACTATCCTGCTTCTGAACTCACAGTGCCAACTTGAATGTAGATGTGGTTTCTTCTTCCTTCTGAGTGCTTTTAGTAGTCCAACAAGCAGTTACTTGATAACTATCTTTTGTAGTTGAAAACCATAGTTCTTCAAACTTTGGGTTTGAAGTGATAGACCTAACTCATAAATAACTTCATTCAGCCTTTCTCCAATCGTGCTTTCCTCTGCAAAGCCAAGACGATGGGTGCGCATTGGCCTTGTCTTTCATTTTGTTATGCCACTAAGCCCTAATGTGAATTAGTGCTCGAACTAAAATGGACATTGTGTTGTAGCACAGTTGCCAGTTTCAGTCATAAACTTAAAAATCTTAGTGTTCGTATGTATTTTTGTGCATCTGTGCACCCAAAAGTGGATTCTATAATTAGATTTCTAGTTGACTTTTGGTTTTCCTCTGTCTCACTATTTGATACTTCTTTTGTTTTATGTATTGGCCACGTTGGTCAACTATACTGTAGAGAAGTAGTAATTTATAAAACAAGTAGAAAAGGTACTGGCGTCACTTAAAATTCTCTATCATGCTTTTTGTTTTGGCAATCCAAGTACTTTCATCTGTTTTTTATCATATTACACAGTTTTGATATAAGGGACTTCTCACATTATATTTTATTACAGCTACCATGGCATAAACAGTTAAGTCTTAGATTATATTATTGAATGTATAACACAAGTGAAGTAACCATGTTTTCATGTGTGCTGACTTAACCCATTTAGATCACCGAAGATTTCATTGCTACGTATCAGGCTAATTACGGCTTTTCTAGTGATGGCGCATCTAGTTCTACTGCAAATGTCCAGGACACCAACATGAAGACTGTAGAAGAACCTCCACAAAGAGAAATCCCCGAAGCCACTGACTCCAAAAAGAGGGGAGAAAAGAGAAAGGCTGATTCAGGCAAGTGGTTCTGTTTTGCAAAACCCACGTTTAAAAATGAAATAGGAAAATGCATGAATAATACATTTTACATTTTGGAGAATTACATTAGCAATAAAGGAATGGTAATATGAGTTTTCACTTTAAAATAGGCTTAAAGCCATTAAGATTTGAGATAGTCTTTTTTTCAGAGAGAGCCTTAGAACAAAAAGTTTATATATTTTTCTCAGTCAAAAAGTTTATATATTTTGAAAGTGGGAAGTGATTTGAATTAATCTTAGTCTTCTTAAATATAAGAGACCCTTCTAAAAGTTTTAAGAAACTGCCAAGATTTCATGATGTGATTCTTGTTGTTTCTTACAAATATTTTATTTATTTCATTTTGATTTTTAGGATGGTTCCATGTCGAAGAAGACAGAAATACAAATGTATATGTGTCAGGTATTTATCCCTTTTTAATGCAGCTTTAAGGCTGGAAACACTTAGTGTCATGACTTTGTGCTAAGTGATTTCTAATTTTTAGAGTGTTTTGTTCAGCTGTTCATGTTAACTTGGAATTTACTAGTATAGAACAAAGAGAAATTATGTAATTTTCCATGCTCTTCTGTATGCCTGCCTTAGATGATTTACATCAGTTTATCTGTTGAGATGTAGTGAAGCATAGCATAACATAACTGTGATGCATTTTTAATATATAAAATGTGAATGACATTCAGATTTATAGATAGGAACTTTTTGCACTCATTTACACAAATCAGCATTTCTCTTACCTTTGTTGTAGGTTACTTGTTGGTAAAATGCTAAATAACTTTTATCTTCATTACATGCTTGAAAATTATTCTCTGAAATTACAGGTCTGCCTCCAGACATCACAGTGGATGAATTCATACAGCTTATGTCCAAATTTGGCATTATTATGAGAGATCCTCAGACAGAAGAATTTAAGGTCAAACTTTACAAAGATAATGAAGGAAATCTTAAAGGAGATGGGCTTTGCTGCTATCTAAAGGTTGGTATATGGTCCAGTACATCTCTTGTCTCCCCAATTTTAACTCAGGAGCCAGGGCTGGAATCTTTTATAGATGCTAACCTAAACCAAGAACCATCTAAAACAGAATAGAAAGAAAACTGAAATTTCAGACTGTGATTGTATATAGGTGATGCTCGTACCGTATCAAATTTTTACTATATATAAATTACTGCTTCTATACAGTATATTTGACTAAGGGTGCAAATACATAACACAAAAGAGTATTAAGTAAGACAGAGTAAAATCCAAAAGTCAGTAACACTAGAGTTATTTGCTTGTTTTAAGAAACTGTTTGCTTCAGGGTCAAAATGTTATGTCAATATGTGATCGAGGGGCTTTTCTTAACTCCAAAAAAATCTCGCTGTAAAGATCTCATTATTGATTTATGTAATCAGCTGTTTAAAAATCTGAGAAGAAAAAAATGCCAGTGACATTATTTGCACATTAGAATGAATTGGAATGGCGTTACCAAAGTCTAACCTGCCACCTATTTTTGCAAATAAAATTTTGTCAGAACACAAGTATGCTTACCAACGCCTTTATGTGTGGCTGCTTTTGTGTTTCTCAGTAGCATCAACCTCTGACCCTCCAAACCTAAACTATTTACTTACCGGCTCTTTACAGAGAGAATTTCCTAACTTCAAGTTAGACTGGAAAGAAGATAATGAATTTTACTTACTGATTTCAACACTACAGAAGAGAACTCAAATGGAAATTTTCAGAATTTCTGTGTTCTTTTGTACAGGGGTTGCTTATTGTGAAAGAAAATTATCATTACTGGAATACTGGTCACCTTAGGAGCGTGTATTGTTCATTGTTGCTTGGCATAAAACAAATGGCCCCAATTATGGCATAGGAATTTTTCATAGAACCTGAAAATAACTACAAATTAAAGTAAAAAAGATAATGTAATAATACAAATATCCTAGGTGTGTAGTTAGTGGACAGCATACAGTGGGGTCAGACGACAGTAGATTTAAGCTGGAAAGCTTTGGGGTTATCAGCTTTTAATCTGTTTTTTAAAGCAAGATGGGTTAGTGGACACTAACACAACCATGACAGTTTTGTGTATTGATATGTAATATTTGAGAATTTTACCAGTTCAAGGATGACTAAAAATCTGTGAAGTTTTCAAAGAGGAGGGTGTTGATTGAATGTTTATAAAAAATTATTTTCTTAAATGTGCGTGTGTGTGTGTGTTCATGAATTTATATACACATGAGTGCTGTTGCCTGCAGAGGCCAGAAGATGTTGTATCCCATGGAACTGGAATTGTAGATCGTTGTGAGCCACCCACTATGGCTCCTGGAAACTGAACTTGACTTCTCTGCAAAAAAAAAAAAAAAAAAAAAAAGCAGCAAGGGCACTTAACTGTTGAGCCATCTCTTCAGCTCCATGATAGGATTTTTAAAGAAATATATTGCTTAGTGAAACACTTTTATATAAAACTTAGGGCTAACAAAAGTAACATATTGTTAAGCCAGTAAATTGCACTTTAGAAAATAAAGTTTATTGCTCCAGTATCCATATTTGATTTGAGCAGCTGAGGTCAGTGGTCCTTTTGCACTTCCCTTATACCTTTAAATCTTTGACTCTGTTTGAGTAGGACCTAGAATCCATAAATGCATTTAATATATTAGCCATTAAATAATTATCTTCTACTCAGTATGTTATTACAGACCTACATTTTAGCTTGATACTGAACATTAAGGTTTACCTGTATTATTTCCATTCCTTGAATCATCTACTGTTAAGTAAATGTTCCAGAGTTTCAAAACTGGGATATTCCACAAAAATTATTCAGCTCCTCTCATTCTGCAGACGGGAAATTTGGTCTTCTGGAGACAAAAATTATCCAATAATATAACTTACTGAACATCTACTGTATGCCGTACCCTAATATAATATACTCTTTTATCTAATTTTGTCGGAAACTCTGTGATGAAGATATTATTTTAGCTTTTTGCAGATTGAGAAGTTGGTGTTCAGAGAACTAGTCACATGCCTAAGTTAACACAGGTGTTGGAAGTATAGCTGTGTTTTGAACACAACTTTCCTGATTTATAGGTTAGGATTCTTTATCCCCAAACAAATAGTGGCATTGTTTATCTCAAGATCTCAAGTTTTGTTTTAGTGCTCAACTTTACTGACTATTTTATTTGCCATTATAAAGAAAGAATCTGTGGAACTTGCATTAAAACTTTTGGATGAAGATGAAATTAGAGGCTACAAGTTGCATGTGGAGGTGGCAAAGTTCCAGCTGAAGGGCGAGTATGATGCCTCAAAAAAGAAGAAGAAGTGTAAAGATTATAAGAAGAAACTGTCTCTGCAACAGAAGTTTGTATTATATTCTTCTTTTTTGTAAAGTTTCATATACATATTTTAAAAGCATATTTTCTTCTTTTTTGAAAAGTTTCATATACATATTTTAAAGTATATTTTTGGTAATAGCTACTTAGTTTTGTTACATCAAGCACGTTTACAGATTATTCTAAAAGAATTTCATTAGCTAGTCAGGGATCGCCAAGCAATCTCTCACATGGACTGATTTGGCAGTGGTGAGGAGGGTTTACTTTTTCTAGGATGATTTCTTTTAACTGGGTTCTAGGCTTCTTTATTTAAAAACAAAGTGATGAGTGATGGACTCATGATCAATGTCATCATTGAACTTCATCTTCCCTCCATCACCTCTTTCCACACTTCCTGTCCCTCATCCTTGCAGCTTCTAGTCCCTCCTCAGTAAATGAAGAACTTAATTTTGGAGGTGATAATTTATCATGTAAAAGGGAACTTAATTGAGCTTAGTATTGAACATGGAATGAAGAGTTGAAGCTTATATTCCAGAACCATGACTTCTCTTTCAGAGTGGATTGAAATCAATTGCCAGGACCTATATTTGTTTATACAAATTTGTTAGTAAAGGTTAGGAGTGATACAGGTTTTTATCACTACATTTACTATATAGTTGTGTATATTTGTGTGTGTGTGTATATATATATATATATATATATATAAAATGTCACATTCTATTCCTAGTAATTTGATTTTAAGCATATTTTGACATATGCTAGTTTTAGGAAATTAGTCAAAATGATAAATACTTTCACCAGTGGATTATACTGAAATTCTAGCATTATGCTTAAACTCATGATAAAATGATCATCAAATTTTCTGTGTGGTTCCATGTGTTTTACAGGTTTAGTTAAAATAAACATGTCAGATTTTACAAACAGTATCAGGAAAATATAAGATTATAGCGAAGAGCCAGTAGTAGTATACTATTCAGTGTAATATATAGTATACTATATACAGTAGTCTTCAGTGTGTTCTTTTCTGTTAAAAATTACATACAAATTTAAAATGGTTTTTGGTTTCAAAGTACTATCAGCCATTCATATACATGGTTCTTTATCTGTGAACTTATTGTATCAAACGCATACCAATTTTTTCTTCTCATCAGTGTCTATACAGTGCAGCATGACAGCTCCTTACATAGCATTTACATTGTAAAAGGTATTAAATATAGTACTCGAGAGATAATTTAAAGTAAATGGGAAAGCCAGGTGTAGGATATAAGTCAGTACAGTGGTGTCCTGTAGTAGTGTTCTGTGTGGCCAAGGATTTGGTGTCCAGCTGATGACTCCAGAAAGTTCTGTGGAACTATGTTGGAACCAGAAAATGACTATCATTAAGCTTGCACTAAAGGATTATATTCATCCTTTTATTTTCTCCTACAAATCTGGACCCAGGTTTTAGTTTACTGTTACTTTTTTGTTACTTTAGGCAGTTGGATTGGAGACCTGAGAGGAGAGCTGGACCATCCCGGATGCGACATGAACGAGTTGTCATCATCAAAAATATGTTTCACCCCACAGATTTTGAGGTAGGAAGTGGTTTTTTAACATCTACAAATTCTGGTATGTTTTCTTACAGGAGGGTCCAAAGCCTACCATGCTCCATCTTTGTCAAGGCATATTCCATTCCTGTAGTCATGGGTAGGATAGGAAAATAAAACAAAGAAGCTGGATTTGGAACTCCCTGTGTTTATCCCAGTGTTCTTTTGATTATATCCTAGATAAGACAGTTTATATTCATACTGTGGCCAAAATCACAGCTGCTGGCTATCTGAACTCAAAGATTGATGGGAACAGCTTGGATTTGTAGTACAGTTCCGTAAGCACCAGCTGATTTTGATGGAGAATACCAGTTGTATCTGAAAACTTGGTGTTAATAATAGAAATTTGATCCTTAAAGAAATCTGATATTTATAGTGGAGGTTGTTTTTTAGAACCACATTTTCACCGAGTTCTTTAGTGAATATATTAAAATCCCCAAAGCAGCAAATAAAATAGCTTACACTGCCTTGTGCCACTGATATCGTCTGCTAGTGTGGATGGATACTACAACTTTTGTTTTCTTTTCCTGGTTCTGGAATTAATGATAACATTTTGGACATAAAGGAAGAAAATGTTCCTAATGTAAACATTCTGATTTGGAAACATTTTAGGTGCAGTCTGTGTTTAATCTTATTCTTTTTGTTCACGATGTCAACAGTGTTAAAATCCAGGACAGGCTCCAAAGCCACAGAGAAACCCTGTCTCGAAAAACCAAAAAAAAAAAAAAAAAAAAAAAAGATAGTTTTAGTTTAGGCCCTTAGCAAGGGCCTTAAAATGGACGGTTCAGCCTTATCTCCATACTTCATGATGAGAGCCTGTTGACAAGAATGATGGTAGTTGTCTTGCTTTTTTGTTCAGGGTTCTGAACCTGGACCTCAAATCATATCAATCTATATCTGCACAATCTAAATAAAGCCACCACAAATTATTATTAAAACTAAGATTCATCCTGGTATATTGTGTAACACCTGATAGAAGGGTTAAAGAGGAATTTTAAGGATTGTTTAGTTTGACTGAAGACTGGTTACGAACCTAAAGAAAAGACGCCAACATTAAGCTCTTTAGAGAAAAAAAAAACCTTGTTGGATTACCCCAAGGTATCAGAAAAAAAACTTCTATTTGGAAGGATGGCATATATTTTTATTCCAAATACTTGAGTAATGTTAGAAGATATATACCTAAAAATACTCTCTGATATTAGGGTAAATAATGAAGGATAATTTTGTAATGTAACTTTAGATGGGTTCAGTGTTGAGTTTGAAGCCTTAACCAAAAATACTCTGCCAGGAAAGGTTGAATATCAAGAAATGAAGAATCACAACTCCAACATGAAGGGAAATTTCTTTTTGTGCACATCAACACAGTCCAGTAGAAGTGTACAATGTGAGAAGCTACATGTAAGCTTCTTATTTCAATAGCCTTGGTAGATAAAACAAGATGTAGCTAGGGAAATTAACTGTAATAAGGACTTGTCCAGGAACCATGCATGGTCATTGTTCACCATCTTAGTGTAAAGTTTAGATCAGAAAGTTACATGTGTAGCTTACTAGGTTAAAGAGTCTTGGAGAAGGGAAGAATTAGGCTACTGTGGAGCAGAGGTGAGGTGTTCCTTTCTGCCCCTTTTCATGCCCTAAAGGTTAGAGTTCTATTCATCTTTACTGGGAGTCTTGAATCCTTCTAGAGTTCTGGGAGGAGAATCCTGAACTAGAGACCACCAGTACCAGCAGTACTTCAGTGTTTGTTTGTTAGCACATATGTGGAAAAGCAACAAGAATATTTTAAGAAATACACATACGTATAAATCTCCAGTTTTCTTTTGCTACTGTCCTCCTCTCTGCCATGCTTGTCCATTTCCTCTCTCTCACTCTGAGTAGACTAAACTCGTAGCACTGAGTGAAATCATCTAACTTAATTTTGTTTTGAGTTTCTTTGTTTATTACTGTGGTCTGAAGACAAATGCACTTAACATTAAGCAGAGTACTGTTTTGCATATGTTAACTTGTCACCGTAATAAATTTGGTTCTTAAATTATAAAGAAGGAGGAAACTCCATTTTAATCCTTTGTTTTTACAGGATGATCCATTGGTTCTGAATGAGATCAGAGAAGACCTTCGAGTAGAATGTTCCAAGTTTGGACAGATTAGGAAGCTCCTTCTGTTTGATGTAAGTTCATGGCTTGTACCAGTCAGTCCTGACATCTTCCAGGCTGAGGAAGTGACTTGGATTGCCCTAGAGTTTAGATAAGTGTTTTTGTATCTCAGGCCTGCTGTCTGTCAGTGGTAGTTCAGTGAACATGGTTTACAAAGCAAGTCTTGGATTGTTTTCATTTCCTGAGCTTATTTCCCTTCCTTCTGACTCTTAAAGAATAACTAGAAGAAAATGTATGGAACATCAGTTTCCTCAAAGTTCTTACCTTTCTCTGGATTACTTACCTGATCATAGTCAAGGAGAAAACCTCATGTTTAGTTTTCTCTAAACTTCAGAAACTGATAAAAAGTACCTATGTGAAGAAAAGTACCATTTCTTACAGTGGATTGCTGGTGTGCTGCAAGGGACTTTACAGGTCATGTTGCTTAATCCTCAGAATCCCTTTGAAGTAAGTAGCTACTATCTGTACAGATGAGGAGGCCACATCTTTTCATGTGGCAGCCCTTGCTCAGTGCTCGTTCAGCTCCTGACAGGCAGGATTTAATCCCAGGACACATCTGACCTTCGAGACAACACTCTTGACAATCTCAGGGTCTTACCTCTTGGATAGTATTGTTAACAAACATTTGCAGACACTGCTGGTTCTTGCTAGACAAGATGAAGCTAAAGAAGCAGCTGACCACTGGCTGGAATAAAAGGGAAGAAAGATTTCAGAAGTTTTTTACTTCAGAGTGTCAGGAGAACACTACTCTTTACCTGTCTTATGAAATGTGGATCTGATTTTTAATCTTGTCATTCAGTCCTTCTTCTTGTCTTTTTAGAGGCACCCAGATGGTGTGGCCTCTGTGTCCTTCAGGGAACCAGAGGAGGCTGATTATTGTATTCAGACTCTTGATGGAAGGTGGTTTGGTGGCCGTCAAATCACTGCTCAAGCCTGGGATGGGACTACAGATTACCAGGTAAATCCTGCAGCTGTCAGGGGTGCAGGAACTGCTGCATTGTCAGCTACAGATCTACTTTGGGGTTTGCTTAATCTGTTTTGTATAATACATCTTGTAAATAATGTTTTACATTGGAGGATAGAGAAAAACTTATCACTTCCCAGTTTGTCAGTCTGAAATTTTGAGGTTTACTCAGAATGATTAGAAAGGAGCAGAATAAACTAAGGTATTCCTTATCTCCCTTATTACAGAGAGTGGCCAGAACTCCAACAGTAATGTTTTAAGGAAATGAACCATTTCAGCAGCCCTTGGGTATTTGTATATATTTATATGACGTTTCTAAGGTTACCCGGATATGAGATTGTGTAATCAAGGTATATAGTTTTGGAGAGCAGAGTAAGGAAGTGTTTAGATTGCTTTAGAAGAGTTGCTTTACAGAACCACGGTACTTGTGTCAGTATTAGAAATGCCCAGAGAAGCCTTAACCTTAGTTCCTGTTTGTGTGCAGGTAGAGGAGACATCAAGAGAAAGAGAGGAAAGGCTGAGAGGCTGGGAGGCATTCCTCAATGCTCCTGAGGCCAACAGAGGCCTCCAGCGCATGGATTCCGTCTGTGCTTCAGAAAAGGCAGGGCCTTCCAGAGGAAGGCATTTTTCAGAGCATCTGAGCATGTCTAACACAGATGCTCAGGAAGCTATAACTGGAATGGCATTTGGAGAAACTATCGATGAAAATAAGTTTGAAAAGGCAGATGAAAATAAGTTTGAAAAGGCAGATGAAAATAAGTTTGAAAAGGCAGAAGATGGAGGAGAATTTGAAGGAAATGCTTCTGAAAAAGATGCTAAAGAAAGTGAGTCTGATGAAGATGACCCTGAGAGAGAGAATGAAGAGGGCTGCCCAAAGAGAGAGAGTGAAGAAGGCTTCCCTGAGAGTGAGCTTGAAGAGGGTAATCCTAAAAAGGAGTCTCAAGGGTGTGGTCCTGAAAGAGAATCTAAGAAGAAAGGCAAAGATAATTATGAAAAGAATGGCCTTGCCAAAGGGTCTGAAGACAGTGACCATAGCAGAGAGTCTGAAGGGGCAGACAGCTTCAAGAAAGAGTCAGAAGATGATGACTCAGCATCTGAGGAAGACTGCTTAGAGAAGCAGTCTGAAGATGGTTCTGACAAAGACTTAGAAGAAAATGGTGTTAAAAAAGCTTTCGACCAGGATGCCTCTGACAAGGAGTCTCCTGAAAATGTCGAGAAAGAATCAGAAGAAAATGATAGTGACAAATCGGAATTTGAAGAAGGCTCTGAGAGAGTGTTAGATGATGAAGGCTCTGAGAGAGAGTTTGATGAAGACGTGGATGAAAAGGAGGAGGAAGACGAAGAGGAAGCAGTCGTATATGAAAGGGTTTTTGAGGATGAGTCTGACGAGAATGATGACTACTTAGAAGCAGATGAGGAGTGTGGGGATGCTGATGACAATGAGGAAGATGACATAGATGAGAAGCTCTTCGATGACTCTGATGAAAAGGAAGAGGAAGAAGATACGGATGTAAAGAAAGATGAAGATACCAATGACAAGCTGTTTGAAGATACTTCCAATGAGAAGTTTTTTGATGACGAAGAAGGTCTTAATGAGAAGTTGTTTGATGATTCTGATGAGAGAGGGACTGTGGGGGATGTGAAGGAAGACGGGTCTCAGTCCACAGACAGCAGCTTTGCCCTCAGTAGTGATGAGGATGATGAGATTTAATCCTTTCCACTTGCTTTTTAGGGAGAGCTCTGTGTCTCTATTTGCCTGTGCTTCAGGGTCAGTAGTAGTGTTACATCAACATGTGCATAGGGGTAGGATGCCATCAGACTAACGTCTCGAAGGTTTCTGTTCTCACCTGTACCATTGCATTTAAATATGTTTATTGGCTCTTCAGGTAAAACTTCATAGTTCAATGCAGGTAAACTGGATACCTGTTTTCTGCTGGATTTATTAAATGCATGCAAGAGAATATTTTTAAAGTATCCGAATTGGAGTTTGTGATAATCAGAAATAAAGGTGAATTGATAATATGCAGAAACTGAAATGTGGACTTGAGTTGATTTGTGTTTGGAATCAAATATTGCTTGATTCCCCCCACACCTCTTGCTTCCAGCTGTGTTACCACTTGGGTTAACCTTCCCCCTTCTGCACTACAATTTGGTCCTAAAGACAGAAGAAATGACATTTTAAGCTCCTTCACCAATCCTTGGAAGTTACCTGCTTTCTTTTTTACCCCCTTTCTATTAAAAACAAGATGTACATGTGGTCCATAGCTTGAGTGATTGAAAACAGAGAAAAGGTGATCCGACTGGACTGTGCCAGTTTAGAAGATGACTAAAGTTACGAGATCTCTCTGCAGAAAGATGGGACGCACAAGCACTACACAGCTTCTTGAATACAGTTTTTTTTTTTTGAATACAGTTTTGAGAGGTTCATGGATTCCACTGGAGATTAAGAACATTTTTCCTTAGGAATATAATTTTTGTTTTGTTTTAGAATCATGGTTCTTTTATTGTGCCACATCAGGTTGCTCTAATACAATTATGAATCATCCTTGATCGAGCTTTCCCAATTCAGTATTGGTGAACTTGCTGATGTAGTGTTGAAAACTTCTGTTGGGAGCATTGAACTGCATCAGTGCTCAAATGTCCACCTATTACGGACTATCTCTAAAGGAAAGCAATGCTTTGCCTTCAATACACATTGGTTGGAATGGGCAGTTCGACAACATAAATTAGGTCTACAACTATGACAAGAGGGGTCCTCGTGGGAAGTGTGTGATTTTGACTATAGAGGCAGCACACACCTGTAATCACAGTACTTGGCAGACAGGCCATCCTCATGTTCAGGCCAGCCTCAGCCTCATAGTGAAACCCTGTCTCAGGAAGAAAAGCATAATTTGAAAATCCAGACTCTGCCATTAAACAGTGCATCTGATCAGTTGTTTGGGGGATTAAGAAGGATTAACACTGCTTGGCAAAGACCCCTTACCATTTGCAGTTGAGAAATATGACAGTAATACTATGTTTTGGACTTGATTGTCAAAGCCTTGTCAACCACAGCAGCTTACTGTGTGTGTTTCAACTAGGGTATGCTGTTCTTATAACCTGTTCAAATTTTTTAAGTTCTTATAGTTGGTAAAAAAAAAAGTATTCATACTTTTTTCATGTGAACACTAGAAGTCACAACAGCCATGAAATGGTTAATAATTTGTGCAGTGGTATAAATGAATTAGCAAAGTCTAATGGGTAAAAATAATGAAAATAAATTATATACATGTATGAAATTGTCAAATAATGGGACTACCTATTTAAAACCATACAGTACTTGCTCAATAATTCTGTTTCTGCCTTTAATGCTCCTTAAAGGCTGGAGGATTGGCTCAGAAGTTAAGAGTACTTGTTGGTTTTGCAGTGGACCTGGCTTCAATTCCCAACAGCCACGTGGGGACTCACAAGCACCTGTAACTCCAGTCCCGGGGATCCAAAGCCCTCTTCTGACCTTCACAGACATCAGACATGCACATAGTGCATGTACATGCATGCAGGCAAAACACTCAACAAGAAAATTTTAAACAGTTTTTTTAGGACTACTCACAAGATTTTCAAATATATCACATGGATTTCAACCCATAGTTTATGAAAAAAAGTGTCTGTAGGCATACTTTTGAATGGCTTGAACACCCTGCTCTCTAGTCCATGTGTACTCTGGACTAAGAAATATCAGACAGATGCAGAGAGCCACAGCCAAACATTAGGCAAAGCTCAGGGAATCCTGCTGAAGAGGGAAGGAAGGATTGTAGGAGCCAGAGGGGTCAAGAACACCACAAGAAAACCCACAGAGTCAACTAACCTGGGCTCATAGGGGCTCACAGAGACTGAATCAACAACCAGGGAGCCTGCAAGGGGCTCACCTAGAACTTTACACGGTTGTGTAGCTTTGTGTTCATGTGGGACTCCTAACAGTGGGAGCAGGGGCTGCCTCTGAGTCTTGCCTCCTTTTTGGTTGACTTGTCCAGCATTAATATGAGAAGAGGTGCCTAGTCTTATTGCAACTTGATATGCCATATTTGGTTAATAACCCATGGGAGACTCTTGCCTTTTTTCAGAATAGGAATGGAGGAGGGGTAGGGGGCAGAGGGTGTAACATGGGGGGTGTAACATGGAGGGTGTAACATGGAGATCTGTCTGTCTCTGCCTCTCAGGATTCATTCATTCTTTTTTTTACTTTCTTTCTTTTTTTTTTTTTTTTTTTTTTTTTTTTTTTTTTTGGTTTTTCGAGACAGGGTTTCTCTGTGGCTTTGGAGCCTGTCCTGGAACTAGCTCTTGTAGACCAGGCTGGTCTCGAACTCACAGAGATCCGCCTGCCTCTGCCTCCCGAGTGCTGGGATTAAAGGCGTGCGCCACCACCGCCCGGCTTTCTTTCTTTCTTTCTTTCTTTCTTTCTTTCTTTCTTTCTTTCTTTCTTTCTTTCTTTCTTTCTTTCTTTCTTTCTTTCTTTCTTTCTTCTTTCTAGAACTTTAATCTTTAGCCTGTATATATTTTTAACACACTGTAAACCATTTAGAGGTTTTCTTACTCTTTGAATTTCTCTTTACTGTATATCTCTCTTTTTCTGACCACATGTGTCTTTAATTTGCTAAGGAATATGGAGAAGTTTTTTGCCACAACTCTGGCGTTTAGCTGCAACAGTGTATAAACAACACTGAAAAGCTCCTATGGCATTTCAAGGTCCTTGCCAGGAAGCAAACTGCAACATTGTATCCATAGCTCCATAGTCTTGGCCACCTGCTTGAAAGAGTCAGAGTTTTCCCTGGCAGGAAGGCCCAGAAAGCCTGCATTTTAAAACAGCTCAGTTTTTGACCTGCTACAGCTGAAAACCAAAATGCTTTACTCTAGTCTTTCCCAAGCTTTCTCAGGCTTTCTGTGGGTGCAGTTATCCACGTGGGCGCCATTCTGTAACATGGAGGGGGCCAGGCTGTTTGTTTGTTGTTGTTTTTGTCCCGCCCAGTACCCCACAACTATTTATTACCAAAGAAAATCACACATAGGTCTCCATAAATTATCAGCTGATTGGCCCATTAGCTCTAGCCTCTCACTGGCTAGCTCTCACATCTTGATTAACCCATTTTTCTGGTCTATGTTAGCCACGTGGCTCAGTACCTTTTTTCAGTGAGGCAGATCACATTCTGCTGCTTCGGTGGTCTAGGCAGGAGTGGGAGGAATCAACTTCCTCCTTCCCAGAATTCTCCTGTTCTCATTATATCAAGAGGGGAGGTGGAGTGGGCTGGGAAGAGAGGAGGAAGGGGAAACTTTGGTAGGGATATAAAGAATAAACCATTAAAAAAATTCAGGTGGTACAGAGATGGCTCAGTAAGTAAAATACTTGCCTTACAAACATAAGAGTTTGAGTTCAGATACCCAGTACCCATGTAAAAAGTGAGAGTTCAGATACCCAGTACCCATGGAAAAAGTGAGCCAGAACAGTGCTCGCCTATGATCCTCTCTCTGGAGAGGTGGAAACAGCAGGACCCCTGAAGCTCACTGGACAGTTAGACTTGCCAAATAGGTTGAGTTCCAGGTTCAATGAGAGACCTTGTCTCAGAAATGAATGTGGAGAGCAATAGAGGAAGACCCCAACATAGACCTTTGGCATATATGTGTATCCACATATACATGGATGTAACAACCCCCCCCCCACACACACACACAGAAGAAAAAACCTCAAACTATTTTAGAAGATGATAGTATCTTCTTTGGCACTATTTCAGGAATATCTTCCCTGGAGAGATGAAAACAATGTCTATCTCCTTTTAAGGTCTTTACAACCAAGTAGAAGCCCATCAAAGTTAGCTAACCTGGAGAAGTGATAAATTTATTGGGTGTGCTTACGGAGCACGGGTGAAGGCTTGCTTATGGCATGAGTGACCTCCCAATGCTGCTGCCTGAAAAGTCTTCACGTGAAATGAATGGCAGCTTCTCCATAGTCGTGTATATGTAATCCCTCCCCCCAGTTAGTCATCCCCTTAACACCCCCCCCCCCCCGAAGTCACATGCAGTTAGGGCATTAGGGCAGAAGTGAATACAAAAGTCTGGGTGGAGTGGCTGGCGTCAGCACTGAGGGTCTAGTGAGCAGCTGCATTGCCTTCATTGAGGACTCAGCATGGTCAACAGGCCTGCTAGTGACAATCTCTTGCAAGAAACTATAGTGGCACTGCTGAAGATGGCAGCTGTTGTGTTCAGAGGACTGAGTTCTACAACAGGCAGTTTGAATGAAATACTGAAATCATGGTTGTCTACATGAGAAGTCCGATAATGGGAAATTTGGGTAATTTGTTCTGAGTACTCTTCTCCTTTACTTCCTTGTCAAGAAGTAGTTAATAATCGGTCTTTCTGGAGTCCCGAGGACCAAATCCAGTGTATTTGAAGCTGTTGCCTTTTCCAGTCCTTAATGCAATCTATTTTCCTCACGTAATTACCTGCCAACTCCCAAAGATTGGAGAGAAAATCAGAATTAGCTCTCAGTCTTATTCTGCCTTTCTTAAATAATGAACATCTTGCCTTTTAAAAGGAAACAAGCTTGGTGAGGTGGCTCAGTGAGAAAAGGTGCTCGCTGCCAAGCCTAGTGACCCAAGTTCAAGCCTCAGTTCCCACATGGTGGAAAGAGAACCAAAAGGTGCTCGCTGCCAAGCCTAGGGACCCAAGTTCAAGCCTCAGTTCACTCATGGTGGAAAGAGAGAACCAGTTCTTCCCAGGTGTCGTCTGGTCTACACACACACACACACACACACACACACACACACACACACACACACACAGTCACACACGGAGTCACACATGGAGTCACACACAGTCACACACACACACACACACACACAAATAAGTGTTTAAAACTAAACCAAACATTTCCATGTAATACAAAATACTGATTCTTGTTAGTTTGAACAGTAGCATGGTTTGAGGAGCTGTTCTAGTCTCTCTGAGAGCAGTACTCCATATGTTTGGCCTTTGGATTACATTCATTGTTCT